GTAAGTTCATGACATCTAACATATATCCTTGTTGAAAGCAGAATAAAAGGATAAAATCAGTCGTGAAATAGAGGGGGAACAGCTACAAAGTGACTGGTTATTATTATTCTTTGCTTGTCAGGAAGGAGTCTTGTACTTTTTGTAAGCTGAAAGGTGTTTTAAGGAATTATTAAATTCTACTAGATAGCAAGAACCATGGATGATACGGAAATTATATTAGCATTGTAACCATAAGGAGTGAAAAGGGAGGGGAATTGCTATGGGAAAATACTGTATTCGTTTTAAAGAAATTAATACAGAACATTTCTCACCCTGTTGAAAGGACCAATATTTTATTTACAGAGGCAAATGCAAAATAAATCAACAAACAAATTGGTAAAGAATAAATGGCGTTGGCAGCACACTGGCCAGCTACAGGGCTGTCCAAAAGCACAACATGACCTCCAGCAGTGGAAATAAGTAATTTGGGCTTTAACAATCCATCAAAACACAATGCACAAGAACCAGCTCATAATTTCAGCTTCCCAAGTACTTAACAGGAGCCAGTTTTAACTAGAACTGGCATCTTCTGATTACAGAGGTGGAATATTAGTATTACTGAAGTCAGTAACAAAACTCCCATGGTTTTAGTGGGAAAGGATTGCAGCTTGCAGGCCTTTTGTGAGCCCGTAGTCTGAAGCTGGTGTAGCTCAGACACAGGCTCACCACCGCACTGAGAACTATATTTACAAAGATATATGCACAATTTAGGGGGTCAAATGCTTTTAAGTAGCACAGGGGAATACTGACTGCAAGCCAGTTCATATAAGCAGGACTATAAGTATAAGCACTTCATAACCAGGTTTCAATCTACATGGGAATATTCTCCTGGGATAGAATTAGAACATCAGCAAAAATCAGAGATAATTCCCAGGTTATGGAACTCCACACCTTAGAAGATCACTTGAGTTTAGGAATATTTATTTTTGTAATACTTTTTTATTACTATAGTGGTACCTTGGGTTACAGACGCTTCAGGTTACAGACTCCGCTAACCCAGAAATAGTACCTCGGGTTAAGAACTTTGCTTCAGGATGAGAACAGAAATCGCGTGGCGGCGGCAGCGGGAGGTCCCATTAGCTAAAGTAGTACCTCAGGTTAAGAACAGTTTCAGGTTAAGAATGGACCTCCAGAATGAATTAAGTTCTTAACCCGAGGTACGACTGTATCACTATTATTATCATTGCTATTTTTCTCAAAAAAAAGAGGTACTGGAGCTCACCATGAATGCCTCCCTTGTTCTCTTATAATGGCAATAGCGCCCACCCAAGAGGTGCAGAAACTGAGTTCTGGTGAGTTCCGAATGGGAAAAAAGCCATTCTTCTTCAAATTCTGAACTGTCTAGGGTACACAACCCTTTCCAAAAGCATTCCTACAATATGAACGTTCAGGTGCAATGGCAACCCCTAGAGCGCTCTATAGCTATGAACCTGTGTGACCTGGGGAGACTGAACATCCTCTCTAATGAGTGTCCTTATCCCCTCTGCCAACCATCATTACCTCTGTCTTGTCTGCATTCAGCTTCAATTAATTTGTCTACATTTAGTCCTCAGAATGGCCAGAGAATAAGTAAGGGGAGGGGGGAAGGGGGGAAGACCTGTGTTGGCCAAGCTGTGTCTGGGCTGCAGAGAGCTGGCTTGGGGCTCATTTGAAGGAATGCTCCTCCATATAAAACAAAATCCACCCTCACACAAAATTAAATATTAGGGATAAGGATTCTAGTCTAACTTTCCACTTGGCATGCTTGCTTTACATTTGCAGGGATTTCTTGTTGCTGCTGTATGGAGGAAGGTTTAGTCAAGTGAGTCTCAAATTTAAAAACAGAATGACACACCCAAAGGAGTACAGCCTAGTCACAGCTTTGCCACCTCAGTGACAACAAGGTTTAGATGTTAACTGCATAAGGGTGTGGTCTGGATAGCTGTGTGATCTTTTTTAAGCTACTGGTGATGCTTACAGTTGGGCAGCTCAAATTCCATCAATCTCTCATTGTGACCTTACTCTTCAGTTAAATCCACCTAAATCCAAATCTTATCCAGTAGCTTCACAGACATGTTGGAACAGAAAGAGAGATGTAGGATGAGGACTATTATATTTTATATACTAATTTCTGAAACAATGGCAAAGTCAGCAATATCTGAAAATCAAAGAATATACAATCTAAATGTAGTAAGGATTTTTTTAATGATTGGTTGACAAGTTTTATTGCAAAACAGCTGTATTATACACACATGGCCACCACCTCCACACACCTAAGCGACTTCAATTTACATCAAAGATGAGATTAGTTTTGCACTGAACTGAGGCATGGCATGAGGGGGAGAGTACATATTAGTACCAATGATCAATTTAATAAAGATGCCCAACATGACAAACTGAGGCCAATAGCTTCAAATGAGGAAGAAATATGTAAACAAGCAAGTCAGGCATAAAAGAGGATTGAAGCATGAAACAAAATGTCTGATGCAGAACTGGAACAAGAAATATATGCAGGCTCAGGAGAGGCTTAGAAATATATTTAGAAAGAGGGAGAAACAGAAGCTTTATGAGGAGATTATCAGCAGTGCAATTCCATACAGTGTAAGGAGAGTCCACAATGCCTCTGTAAAGACATCTGTATTCCAACCCACAAGTTTGTATAATATAGTTATACTCTACCTTTAAGGATGACTCATTCCAAGACATCTTACATCATTGTAACAACAACAAAACATCCAAAATGAAATGAAAGCAATAAATGCTATGATTATACAGATTCTGCTCAAAGTATTTGGAACCTTTTGAATTGAACAGTATGGGGAAAACGTAGGTCTACTCCCAGCATTATTATTTATAGATAGATAGATAGATTGATTGAATTTATATCCCACCCTTCTTTCTGACGGATTCCAGATGGTAAACCTCTCTCTAAGGTGTATCAGTGCATTTTACAAGTGGGGCTGACATTACGGAATGCTCCTCAGTTTTTTTAAAAAATGTAATGCTTACACACAGAAAAAAGTAGATGTCAGAAAAAAGCCAGGCTAGAATAGTACATGCTAGTTTTCTGCGTGTGGTGGTTTTGAAAATTGGAGAGCGTTTAATCATGTGAGCCCCTAAATACTGTCCAAAGTAGTGCAGCCTAGACATTAGTTTACAACCCTAGTAATAACTAAGCCATACAGATAGTCTCTGTTGACACAAGAAATGCGTGCAACTATTCCTTGCATAGGATAGACATTGGAAAACTATGTGCCTTGAAGGGTTAGCTCTTCATACTGCTTCTTCTCACTTATCCCACAAAATAGAAATGGGGAGGAGGAGGAGAAAACAGCAGGAAATTACTGGTACTCAAAACATGTATGAACTATGGCATAAGATATGAGGATTTGGAGGGGGGAGTAATTATCTTTTTGTAATTGTTCTTGGAATTGTGTGATTTTTCAAATGGATCTCAAAACCAATACTATTAACTACCAATGCTATTATTATAGAAACTGTATTTTTTTGTAATAAGATTTTCTGCATAGGGTGATTCTGCATGCACACATGCATAGGGCAATAGTTCTGATACGAATAAAGAAAGCAGGATGGTTAATTTTATTTTGAAGTCCAGAGTTTGTGTTGCACACAATGAATCCAAATTTAATAAGAGACAATCATTGGCATATACAGAGAAATACTGTTACTTCCCAGACTCCTCATTTTCATTATTATTCCTGAAAGACTATCATTCATTTGCAGTTTTATAATGAATGCTGTCTTAAAAGCTTGTGATTTAATTTAAGGAAAAACAGAGTCTGGATCTGCCCAACTTGTGGCTCACCACGCCAAACATAGTCCGCCAACCTGTGGGCTGCCAGATATTAGACACACTTTCTCCTTCCTCCAGCCCTAGGCAAGTAGCAAAAACAGGAGGTTTGTCAAAGAAATATAGCTAGTAACCTGGGTTTGGCTTGGCGAGTCACAAGTTGTGTGGTGAGATTCCAGAAGGTGGATTGCACATACCAGTTTTGGTATATGAGGGAACTGAGGAAGGAAAAGCAATGTGAAGGGGGAGTTTTGGAAAAGCAAGAAAAAGGACCTGCAGGGAAGCCTTTTCTAGGCATCTAGATGTCTAAGACTGAAAGCCTCTAGAGGGGCTGTGTCACAACTATGGCACTCCCTTCCCTGGTAAAAGTATAGCTCATCTTTTCATTTGCTAGTAAGCTTGAAATTGGTAAGATTGGAAGTGGTGTGTTAATGTTGTTTATAAATCGAGTATCCCTCTTCCTGCATTTTGATTACTTATTTTTCTCTTTTATTACTTCCTGGAGCCTTAGGGATCTTGAACCCACCTATATAAATCAACATACTCCTTTCCTAGTTGTTGGGTTTTTTGGGGGGGGGCGGGGCGGATTTTTCTCCTTGATTTGTTTGCTGCACCAAAGAAGGAACATCTTGGTGTGGCTGCAGCAAACAGGAGTGTGAGCTGGTCGAAGGCCAGTGGGAGGACTCACCTTTTCTTTTCTTGGATTTGACATCGGAATGGGAGGAAGGAGTCTTGCTGGGATGGGAGCGAGGCTTTGAGTTGAGAGAGTTTGAGGGCGGGAAAACTCACCCCCTCTTGCAGAAGAGATCAGTTCCAACCCCTGGCATTTTCGTTGAAAGCCTCCCAGGCAGCCATGATGGCGAATATCCTGGGTCCGAATCTGCAGTGCCAGGTGGAGAAAGCAGAAGTAGGCTAGAGGGACCCCCGGCTCGACTAGGCATCGAGCAGCCCCCGGTGTTCGGGTGTGTGCATGTGCTGCGTGGCGCCTGCCCCGTGTTTGTTGAGAAGCGGGGTGAGTGAGTGGGGCAGCCGGCTTGCATAGCTGCGCCCCTGTTTCCCGCCCCCCAGCACCCACCCTCGACTGCCCCGCCGACGCCTCCTTGGCCCTGCCCTTGCCTCTTCCTCGCCGCGTCGCTCCTGGCTGGCCGCCCGCCCGCCCCGAGGTCGCTGTTCCTCGCCCAGGTGCTGAAACGGAGCCAGCCGAGCGCCGAACCCGCCCCTCCCCGGAGCGCGGAGGAGCAGCCGCGTCAGCCGGCGGGGGAGGAAGAGGAAGAGCAAGAGGAGGAGTGGAACAGCCTGTCTGTCGTCGGAGGAGACGGGGCCATCGCAGAGCGGGCCAGAGCTGGCGACTGGGCGACATGAGGGGCTGGGCGGCCCCGGAGCGGAGGAGGGGCGCAGTGGCCGCTCCGGGGGCTCCTGGCGGCGCCTGCTAGCCGCTTGCATGACCCTCCTGCCGCTGCTGCCGGGAGGCTGAGCGTGCGCCTGCCCGGGGCCTCCCTTCCCGGACCTGCCATGACACCGCCGGGTTCCCGGCGCGGCCGCGAGGCGGAGGCCCTGGGCTCCTGGCTGCTGCTGCTGTGCCTGGGTCCCGCCGTCGGGCAGCTCCGCTACGCAGTGCAGGAGGAGGGGCCGCGGGGCGCCGTGGTGGGCAGCGTGGCGGACGACCTGGCGCTGGAGCCCCGGCAGCTGGCGTCGAGGGGCGCCCGGCTGACGTCGGGCAGCGGTCGGCAGTACTTGGCGCTGGACGTGGGCCGCGGGCTGCTGGTGGTGAAGGAGCGCGTGGACCGGGAGGCGCTGTGCGAGCTCAGCCCGTCGTGCTTCCTCAGCCTGGAGCTGGTGATCGAGCAGCCCGTCGAGGTGCACGGCGTGGAGGTGGAGGTGCTGGACATCAACGACCATGCGCCCCGTTTCCCCCGCCAGGAGTACCGGCTGGACGTCAGCGAGTCCGCGCTGCCGGGCGCCCGCTTCCCCATCGAGGGCGCCGACGACCCCGACGTGGGCTCCAACTCGGTGCAGAGCTACCGCCTCAGCCCCAGCGAGCACTTCGGGCTGGGCCTGGGGGACTTCGAGCGCGGCAGCAAACTCCTGGAGCTGGTGCTGCTGCAGCCCCTCGACCGCGAGCAGAGCGCCCGCCAGCAGCTGGTGCTCACCGCCGTCGACGGAGGCGACCCGGCCAAGTCCGCCACGGCCCAGATCTCCGTGCGGGTCTTGGACACCAACGACAACTCGCCGGAGTTCGACCGCGGCACCTACACGGCGATGTTAATGGAGAATGTGGCGCCAGGCACGCTGGTGGCAAGGCTGAACGCCTCCGACCCGGACGAGGGCTCCAACGGCGACGTGCGCTATTCCTTCAGCAGCTACACCCCGGAGAAAGTGCGCCAGCTCTTCAGCGTGGACCCAGTGTCGGGAGAGGTGAGGGTTAACGGGACGCTGGACTACGAGGAGGCCTCCTCCTATGAGATCTATGTACAAGCCACCGATAGGGGCCCCGTCCCCATGGCTGGGCACTGCAAGGTGCTAGTCCACATTGTGGATGCCAATGATAATGCCCCTGAGGTTGTGCTGACTTCCTTGTACAGCCCCGTCTCTGAGGATGCCTCCCCTGACACCGTGGTGGCCTTAATGAGCGTCACTGACCAGGACTCTGGCCAGAACAGGCAAGTCAGCTTGAGCATTCCTGCCAACCTCCCTTTCAAACTTAATTCCTTCAAAAACTCTTACACCCTGGTGACTCAGGGGGTTCTCGACCGCGAAAGGGCTGCTGCCTACAATATTACCATCACTGCTGCAGATGCAGGAATCCCTCCCTTAACTTCTCACAAAGTCATCCAGGTGGACATCTCTGATATCAATGACAACCCACCACGGTTTGAAAAACCCACTTACTCTGTTTACATCCCTGAAAACAATGCTCCAGGGGTTTCCCTCTGCACTGCCAAGGCTGTTGACCTTGATGCCAATGAAAATGCTCACATTTCTTACTCTCTGCTGAACAGAGAGATTCAAGGGCTCCCTGTGGCCTCCTATGTCTCCATTAAACCTGACACTGGTGACATTTATGCTGTTACTTCCTTTGACTATGAACAGCTGAGGGAGTTCCAGGTTGTTGTGCAGGCCCAAGACTCGGGGGTGCCACCACTCAGTAGCACAGCCACAGTGAACATCTATGTGGTGGATCAGAATGACCATGCACCACAGATTCTGTATCCTGCCCCAGTTAATGCCTCAGCAGCTATGGAGATGATCCCTCGCTCAGCCAGCACTGGATACTTGGTGACCAAAGTCATAGCCATTGATGCAGACTCTGGGCAAAATGCGTGGCTCTTCTTTCACCTGGCCCAGTCTTCAGCTCCAGACTTCTTCAGAGTGGCACTTCACAGTGGAGAAGTTAGGACTACTCGAAAACTGCCGGAGGACACTGTGACCACCTTCAACCTTACTGTTGTCGTCAGAGACAATGGCAAGCCACCCTTGTCTTCCTCCGTGTCAGTCATAGTTGCCGTGGTGGACAGGATTTCCAAAATCATTCCTGACACCAGGAGGCACGTAAAAAGCTCTAGAAGTTACTCTGAGATCACCCTTTATCTCATTGTTGCTCTGAGCTCTGTCTCATTTATATTTCTCTTGACAATCGTTGTCCTTGCTGTAATCAAGTGCCAGAAACACAGTGTGCACATGAGCTCCTGTTGTGGGGGGTTCTGTGGGACGCCCAGAGAAAGGTGCCCAGTCGAAATGTACAAGCAGGCAAATAACAACCTTGACACCAGAATGTCAAATGGTTTAAAAGTCCAGCCCCATTTTGTTGAAGTGCGGGGCAATGGCTCTCTTTCCAAGACCTACTGCTATAAAGCTTGTCTGACTGCAGGCTCAGGAAGTGATACTTTCATGTTTTACAACACCGGGGTCCCAGCAGGAATCCACTCCCAGGCTGGGATGACTGAAAGACATCTGACTGGGCAGAGCGGGCAGAGCGCACAGAACCTGATCATACTTAAAAGTGAGCCCATCACTCCAAATGAGGTGAGGACTGAATGGATAAAATGACCTGAACAGGCTTTGAATGTAACCAGTGGTCTTTTACATGCTTAATGCTCAGGATATTGATAGGAAACAAGAGTGGGTTAAAGGAATGGTGAGGCATGGCATTCATTTTTCCCCCAAACAAAATTGGAGGCTTTTGATTCCTTCTGCTCTGCTAGCTCAGGTGTATTATATCTGTGTAGCACTTTGTTTTAAAAGGGTTTTTATCTTCCTGATCAAAGTATCAGGGTGTTCTATCACCTTTCTACATGTAGGAGAAAGTTCACTCTAGCAGATTGTATGATAGCACAAAATACGCATAAAAGAAGCATAAGAAGGCTCAGTCTGAGAATCAATATGCTTCAAATGATGTTCAGGTGATGCGTGTTTCCTTCGAAGCACTGTGTCCAGTGGGGCTTACTCCCAGGGTATTGGTTTGCAGCCTACAAGACTTTGTAATTATGTTCCATCTTCTGGATCGCCATATTAAGATACACTTGGCTGTATGTTTTCTAGGCGGCTGAGAACATATAAAATATTATTAGGCTACAATCCCACCATTGATCTCAGTGGGACTTATTTCTGAGCAGATATGAATAGATTAAACTGGTAACACAGTGTTTTACTTCTCACTTCTTCTTCCTGTCCTCCTGTCCTACCTCCCCATTTCTCTGAAAGTCTAGTGACATAATTCAGTATGTTGACCCAGTTTTTGCTGTGCTGTTGCAGTACATTAGTCTGTAACCCCCATAGGTACTTGTTTAGTACCTATGGCCTCTTTATTACTCGATCATGCTCTCTTGTAGTGATACACTTTATTTTATTTATTTATTTATTAGTAAACAATACTAACAGTAGGTTGTAAAGGATCCTATATATCATTTCAGTTTTATGGCATCTGCAGCAGAGCAGTGCAATACTGGGTGTTTTTTCCAGGTACCATTCAAAGCTGTATTGTGAAAGCAGTCACACTGTCTCCAAATGGACTTCAGAAGTAGAAAACCAAACGTACTCAGTTTCAATATTTTGGTAAAATTATGCAGATATGCTTTGCTGAAAATAAGAGTAGTACAGTAAAAACAAAGTTGGACAGCCAGTTTTTTCAGTATTCAGAAAACAAGTTAAATAAGTTAAATAGTAAAATAATAATAATAATAATACTTCATATTGAAAGCCCCAAGGTGAAATTGTTTCAATGTAATTTTTCTCCAACAATCACTTACTCACTTGAAAAAGGTTATGTTACTTAAAAGGAAAAAACAACAACAACCTTAAATAGAAAATTAGCATAATCTGCGCTGAGAAAATAGTCTGGATTATGCCATGGACAGCTTTTAATGGGCTTGGTGTCATGGACAACCTATTGAGGCTACTATGTCAGCTTGATAATTTCTGCATTTCTGAAATCAATCAATAGGTATAATTTATTTGTTTGACCTCAGTCCAGATAAAATACTTGCTGAACAGCAGTATGGATTTTTGGTGCCACAAACCTAAACAAGTTTACTGAAAGTAAAGATCTGGCTAAACGAGGCAGTGAAGATGCAAGATTGGAACTCCTATTGCTTAAAATTCTGGCAAAGAGCATGTGTATCGGGACCATGGGAAGAGCGGTTAATCCTTTCTCTCCGCATCAGTTTCCTGATGAAAATCCCCCCCATCTGCTCTTCACTGCATTAATAAAAATGTAAATGTACAGGCAGTGTGCTCATGTGAAGCCTCCAGTATATACACGGAGCTCCCACAAGGGCAAGAATTTCCCCAAGTCACTTGAAGGGTGGGTGCTATTCCTGCAATGTATTTTTCTGTGTTTGATTACCTATCCTGGTCACTGAAGTGAATTCTTCCTGCATATCAGACTGCATATAAAAAGTTGGATTTAAGTCATAATGTCAAAGTTTGAAAGTTTCATTGAAAACAGTGTGATGTCCTTGGCATTTTCCATCTTCAGGGCAAATAGCAGCAGTGGGTGAGAGAGAGAGAGATCATGAGTATATTGATATCTCATCTAGTTTGGTTCTAAAGATTTTACAATCCAGTTTTGCATTTTCTTACATGTTTTGTAAACATGGAATAAAATACATCAATCAGAGACTGTAAAAGACAAGTCTGGGGACTTTCCTTACCTTTAAAACAGCACTAAATTATCCACTTGCTTATTGCATGGGAATTTACTAGCACTTTCCATGATGTCACTAATAGTATAGTGGGGTAAAAGAGGGGAAGTTTTGTTCAAAGTACGGAATTTGTAGTTGCCCTGTAACTTCTTGGTTGGTTTCTGGTACTGTGGTATGTTATCAGCACAAAGAGGGATGCCATATGGATGTGACCATCACAATATCCTAAGTATTTCTATCAGAGCCGTAGCCATATGGAGGGGGGGGGGCGGCTAGCTAGGTTTTTTGCACCAGGTAGAGGAGTGCCATTGAGGCTCCCAGCCTGTGTATGTGTGTACGCAAATGTGTGTGGTGTGTGTGTGTGTGTGTGCCAAACTGTGTCTTTTACTTGGGTAAAATGGGAGCATTTTAGGAATGATACTTTGTTTTTTCATTCTGCCTTCTCTTGTTCCACCTCTGTGTGCATCAGAGTTTTACATGATCAGCAATCCAAATCAAGGTCAATTTTCCAAAAAGTGCTGAGCACACCTCAGTAGCTTCCAGCATGGCACCTGTGTTCAGTTTTCCCCAGAAAGCCTTAGCGACCTGGATAATTGGAAGGTGAGCTGGGGGGGGGGAATACTACATCAGAAGCTATTCAGTGCATCAGCAGGAAACTGAAGCTAGATTTAGTTAAAACAATAGAGAATCTTGCTTATTGCAGTTTCATAGTGGAAAGCATTTCCTGGAGGTTATGGGTATCTCCTTTAAAGGTTTTTAAGAAAAGTCTTGATGGAATGCAAGTGATGGGCTATTGAGGCTTAGAGCAGAGATTGGAAGTCCTTGGGTTGCCTTGCAGTTTTGTGATATTGTGTTTTGCCAAGACAGGAGTCCATATGAGACAGAGAGAACATATATCTGTACTACAAACCTATATCTGCTTTATACCAGTTTAGCTACATTGGCTTCTCACTAAGAATCCCGGGGAATTGTTGTTTGATGATGGTGCTGAGAATTGTCTGCTAAAAATATCTAGCCGCTCCTCCCCCATCAAATCTGTGATGGAGACAAACCCAGAGTAGGATGCAGGCAGAAGGCAACTGTGAGTGCAGCCAAAAAACAGGCTTTATTTTTGCCCCCAGGCAGTTTCATCATGCCCTCCTTTCCTGAATTTGCAAATTAATCTTTCCCCACTAAATACTCATAGGACAGTTCCCAAGCAGGATATGTGTGGTAGTGGGGAGAGGCGGGAGGAGAAGCCAAATTACAGAGAAGACTTTGCACAGAAGCAACAAAACAAAAAGTGCCAGGGAAAGTGGCTAAATAATCTCCCCCCCCCCCATTGAAGTCTCTGCTCATTTTTTATTTTTATTTTTACTTTTGATTTGGCCAAGGGAGGCAGCGCAATTTATGCTAAACATGAGGGAACAGATGAAGCACTTTCCTTCTAATCTAAGAATTCTTGAGGAATTCAGTCTTTGCAAATTCCAACACAAAATGACATGATCCACACACCTCTTGGACATGATCCACACACCTCTTGGAGTAATGTGCGGATAGGAACTTGAATATGTGGGGGATTTTGCGCTTCTGATTTTGAGATGTAGTTCTCAGCAGTTTAAATTATCAAAATGTGCTTTTAAATACCTATTTTGCCAGAAAATACGCATTTAAATATGCATTTGTACATGTATTTAAACAGCACAATACTATTTAAATAGGTATTTAGAAATGATTCTTTAAAAATGCATATTACTGTGGAAATGGAATGGAACTATGAATAAAAACATGGAAAAGTGTCGAACAACCTAGACAGTGATCTGGCCAGAGTGTTCTAGAACCGAAGGAGTCATTTCCTGGTTATGCTGTCCACCTGGGCGTGCATTTCTAGGTTGTAATTTAGTAGCTTCTGAAAAGCACATGCTAACTGTGACTATTAAAAGTGCTTTGTCTGTCTGCAAACGACTGTTTTAAATAGACAAACTTTGTTCTGTGCAATGAAAAAAAAAGAATGCTCTGGGGTCATTTCAGCAGCATTAGTAGCGCAATAGCCAGCAGGCAGCAGAGAGATTGTTGGTGGCACTGCAGAGGCAAAGGATCAAGGCACAGGATTTAATGAATGTCTAGTGTTATAATTCATCACTGCTGGATGAACAGGGCAGTCAGGGCAGGATAATCACCTAAGGGGAACAACAAGCCTGGCAAGCCGTCTTGGCTTCACTGCTGACCCACTGTGAGATTAAAGCCAGCATTTGCAATTGCTGTCTTGCAGGAGAAGGGAAGAAATCTTATTTTACCATTGGGCTTTTAACGTAACCTTTTCAGAAAATATGTGCCATTCCTTGACTGTCTGAATACTTCTCTCTCTTCCCTGACGAGGGAAGTGCTGGAATCCTTCTGGCCACAGATGTCTTATGAGCTGGATTTTCACCTTCGTCATCTGTTGCTCTCCTCAGCAGCAGTTGAGCCTCTCAGTCTGCCTTGTCTGCTGCAAAAAGCCCTTTCACCAGAGTGACGCTTAGCTTCAAAACTGTGCCTTCTGCAGAGATGCATTGTAGGGTGTTGCTATTGGTCAGTTGGCATGCTAAACCTTTGCCTAACAATAGCAACGTCTGTTTGGGTACCACTGTTTTCTCTGCCACCATTTTGAATGCTTTGAGAGACATTGAGATAGGAAGGGCCAACACATTTGATGTTTGCTGAATAATCACTGACTGTACGCACTTTCCCCCTCGAATTTAGTATTTGTGTGTTACCTTTTGTGAGCCACCTGGGGGCTGTTTCTTGGTTGAAACTCAAACAACAATAATGGGAACTCTGCAGCAAGCCCTCTGAAGCTGCAGGGATAGAATCTAGTGATGCATTTCAATTGCTCTGTTGTGCTCACAAATTTCTGCAGCGGTT